CCAAAATTTCCCCCCCCCCCCCCACTCCCAAAATCCTAGCCTTTTCTCCCTACTTAATGGATACAATTCAAAATTAATACAAAAGGACCTAATTGCCCTTGTTTTCCCCTCTTTTGGCTCCAAGATTGAATTTGAAATTCAAGTGGACCCCACCCTTGTCTCCCCCATGGCTTCCGCCGGACTCCTCCTGGTGTAAAGGAACCGAGCCGTCCCAAAACCCGGCTGGACCGGTCCATAGAGGACCGGTCTAACAGTTTGCATCAAATTTGGTTTGACCTGCTTACAATGTACTTAAGTTATGTTAGGAACTACTAGCTAAACTTGAGATGGAGTGCTATGGTCTATTGGGTTTATGAATTGAGTTGTTGTAAAAAATGATTCTTATAGACACGTAATCATTCCCATGTTAAATTGATGGACTTCCGTATTTTGCATTGGGTGGCTACGGTTCCACGAGGTCATGTTAAGTGCTTAGGCAAGCTAAATGATATGAATACTAAATGTGTTCGATGTTCTGTGACATATTGCCCACATGCATTCCTAGTTCTATTTTATCTAATAAGGCTTTGCTTTTGTTACTATGGATTTCATTTGTTAGGTACTTTGCACGAAAAGCCTTTGTCATGGCATGCAGTTCATGAGTTCTATTTTTTAGATTATTCTATGTGAATTCTGATTAAACTTATTATTTAGCAAAATCTCATTTGAGAATCATACTCATAAGCTTAACATTGATGCCAATTTTAACCTTCTGTGTTGCATAATAGTATTTGACAAAAGTTGGAGAATATAAGGAACTTGTATGAAAAAATACCAGTCCCTTGCACAAATATCAAAGGTAAGGAGAAAAAGAGAAGGCAAAAAAATGAGGAAAAAATAGAGAGAATAGGAGACAATCAGTAAAATTTTCTCTCTTCCTCTTTGTGCATGCCGCTTGACATTTTTATATGAAACATGAAATAACTAATTAGCTAATGTAGATAGTTTCTTTAAAAATTATCACAATTTCAGAGACATTTAATGATTAAGATAGCAAACTGACCTTGTTGCATGTCAACGAATACATACATGTGTTCCCTTCATGAAACATCTCTTTGAAGAAGAGGCATAGCATGACATGTAACCATATATGTTTATTGTCGTAAATCATAAAATGACGCACTTAATTGCATTGGATTTAGTAAACTTTTGAACAAGATTGGCTAGGTTGAATTGCTATTCCTTGCATCATTTTATCTTCCATATTTGTTTTGTAGGTTCAAACAGCAGTTGACACTCTCAGAGCAAGCGCTGCTGATCGAACACATGATCTACAAAACGAAATGTCTAATGCTCGAAGTTTCACATCATCTGTTAAAGAGAAATGGGAGCTATACATGGAAGAAACTGAAAACCATCACCTTCAGGATACTGTGGCAGTGGAAAACGGAAGATGCTGCTTGGAAGAAGGCCTGAAAGAATGGTAAATATGCTTATCAAGCCACTTGCAAGAGAAAATTTTATTTTATGCTCAAGTTTGAAGTAAAATAACATCCTTATATACAAATATTTTATGTGATATACAGCATGGCAGACATAAAAATTGGTTCACTGCTATGGAAAAATGCTCAGGATTCCCTGTTGAGCTTAACGAAAGGAAATGTAGCATCAGTGGAATCAATAGTTAGGTGAGCAAAATTTCAAAGATTTGAAGTAGATGAATGATCTGTAAAAGCACATGAGAGTACTAGGTTTAATCTACATTGAATAGTTGAATATAAGTTGTAAGCATATCAAGAGGTTGTCTTTTCCCGTATGCTTAAGCTTTTGGGTTAAAAATGACTTTGATCACTTTGGCACCCAATTTGATTCACTCACCAAAATGATCAGCACATATTCATAATTCTAATTCTGAATTGGCACTCAAATATTTTTGCTTAGGAATGGAATGGAATCCAATCAGCAACGAAGAGCAAACTTGTCTTCTGCTACCACGACAGCGCTAGAGCACGTTGATGTAGGAAACAAGAGTATTCAATCCTCTTTGGACAGTAAGCTTTTCATTCCTCTCTTTGATTTGTCTGGCAAACCAGGATTCAAGTTATACATGTTTTTGAATTAGTAGCTCACTTTGAAAGAGCAAGTATTTTCATGTGTTTATTAGTGATAGTTCTCCTTCTATTTTGGTTTTCACATATCTACATAATCACCAGGTTCTTTAAAACTTGATCATGATGCATGTGCAAGCATGTGTTCCTTTATCGCCCCATCTCAAAGGGACCTGTGGAACATGAGGAATGGACACTATCAAAAGATTGTCGAGATCACAGATAATGCGGCAAGATGCTTAGAACAAGAACATACGGTGAGCTGTAAGCACATTAATTACAGGGCACCCTTTAGTAAAACATATCTGTTAAATTTGATTTTTGTATCAAATCAAAATTGTATAGATGGATGAACCATCTTTTTCAACTCCAAGAAGAAGGGCGATCAATTTTCCAAGTGGGGCATCCATCGAGGAGTTAAAAACACCAGCCTTTGAAGAGCTGCTCAAGGGATTCTGGGAGTCCAAATCTGCTTGCAAACAAGCAAATAGTGATATAAAGCATCTATATACAGCATATGAGTATCATTTACAAGGCTTGAGGGATTCTAGAGTTCCCTTAACTACACAATATTAAGTGAGAGCTCAAGAAAGATGAATCCAGGACTCTGTACAGATAAGAGATAGAGAACATTCAATCGTTCTTCACTTCTATCACATAGAGCTTTGCCAACCCGGCTAAACTGCAGAGTAAAAAAGCTGAGGAAAAAAAAATTTGTAGCATGTTATACGTAGTTCAGTGTATCTTCGATATGCCATTGAGACATACAGAGGGTTTTACCCCTTGATTAGGGTTACTAAATTAAATTAAATAAATACACGCATAAACTGTTTTTCTATCAATCAATTACTAGTTCTTTTTTCTCTACTAAAATGCCTGTTAACTTCTGGGCTTGGTCAGTTTTGTGTTTTGAAAGACAATCCAGAGAACCAAAAGAGTGCGAGACATTTATGCTTCTTAGCTTCAGAGTTTTGGCACATGCAGTTAGCAAAATGGAATTTTTACATGCCAAATCTCAAGAGGGAAAAACCAAATGGCCCTGTGAAAGGTTCATCCTCCTCGAGCGTCTAAGGATTTTGGCACATGCAGTTAAACTTGTACCAATCTCCTCTCTCAGCACACAGTATTTCCTCTAAGCTAAACAGTAATAAGATTTCACTGTTCACACCAGACAAAATGTGAGCAACTCACTGTAAATCAATATCACAAATAATGTCATTCCAATTTTGGTAAATTTCATACATTTTATGCCATCCATCTCATATCAAGCAAAGAAATAATTCATTTGTCTCCCAATCTACTAAGTATTGAGATCATGAAGACCGTCAAATGTGGAATGCTTCAACAGTTGATCCTTTTGGTATGATCATAATGATCTTCATTAATATGATCATGGTCAGTTGTAGGTGCTCCTAGAGAGGCCAAGTCTATACTGGTCTTGTTCTTAGGTTGGGATGGTTTTAAGATGCAATGTTCTTACAAGCACCAGTTGTTTTGCAAAGATTTATGGAAAAAAAATACAATTTATCCTAACATGAACAAATATTATACCTTATCAGAAGGGTCCATCACCAGAATTCAGAATGTTGCAAATCTCCGTGCAGGTAGAAGATCCAGCTTCAGTTGTTGGTAGCTTCGAAGGTCGATGGGGAGGTTGAGGCGCTCGAACTGCTAGATGGAAGGGCAGATGCGTTGTGACGTCCCGAGCTGGCGTGCGAGAACACAAGGCGTTATTGAAAGGAGTCCCGTTGCGGCAGGCGGGATTGCGTGAAGCTCTACAAACGGAAGATTCAGGCACGGTCGAATCGTGATTAGGGCTGCGCGAGCAGCATTTGGTGCGGGCTACTTCGCACGATTTAGGATTAGTTTATTGTTTCTTAAAATTAAATTTTACCTAATTTTACTTCTTTATTAAAATTTTATTTTAAGTAGCAATAAAAAAAATAAGTAATGAGTAGCACGGCCTAAACCTAGAACTTTTATTCGGTCCGGTGAACGTAAGCTCCTCTACGTTCGGCCACCAATTTTTTAGCGCCACGTAGCATGAAGAAAAGTCGCCGACCCGACCCGTTGTTTTTTGGGTTCTCGCACGTGTATTTTTTAAAATCCTTGACGAGCCGAACAACATCCCATCACCTTTTGGATATATTTCAAATACCTAGCAATACCGAGCAAATACCAAGTTGTACCTAGTTTTTTTCTAGCAATATCGAGCAAATCCCTAGCAATGCCGAGCAAATACCTAGCAATACCGAGCAAATACTGAGTTGTACCGAATTTTTTCTAGCAATACCGAGCAAATACCTAGCAATACCGAGCAAATCCTGAGCAAATACTGAGTTGTACCGAGTTGTAAAAAACTCGGTACAACTCGGTATTTGCATGGTATTGGTCTTCACAGAGCGGTATTTCTCATTTTTACAAAGCAATACATAGCAAATACCGAGCAATGCCGAGAAAATCGCGAACATAGCATTCCCGGGTTCAGCTCCGAGTCAAGTCATCGGGCCGCGCGGTTTAGAGTAAGAGCACGTGGCGACATGTTATTGGCGGCCAAATGTAGCTCTACGTCTGGTCAGATGACGTAATAATTGGGCCGGAGAGATTTAGGCTTTTTTGGTTCTAACTTTTTTTACTATTTTTTATTTAGTACAAAAATTTTTACACTATTTTAAGAGCAGTAAAAAAAAGTCGTCCCAATTTTTTAAAGCTATTTTTTTATATAAATTTTTTTTGAATGCAGCAAAAAAATTATCTCAAACAAAGCTATAAATAAAAATTAGCTACTTTGTGTGATTTAGGTTTAAGTTTCGTTTGAAATAACTCTATTACTGATTTTTAAAGCTAATTTTTAGTACAAAATTTTCTAACTCAGAAAAATTTTATACTAAAAATCTAGTTTAAAAGCAATAAAAAAACCATCCAAATGAGGTCTTAAAGTTTAACTGGATTTGTAATAGAGTCGCAAGGCCTAAACTATAAATAAAAAAAGGTTTAAAAAGATAAACTTTATTGCGTCCAGGAGTATACGCGGCTGTAGAGAAATATCATATTTAACGTCTTAGCCTTATACGAAAATCTGACACGCAATCAGATAAGGGAGAGGGTCTAGTATTCACATTAGACACCAATATTTTTACGTGGAAAACCTCTGAAAAGGGGGAAAAAATCACGGGGCCTAGCCCAATTTGAATGAATCCACTAGTACTGTAGTTGATTACAAATGAGGTCTTTCCTTGGTGGAAGGCCTTAGATTGATGTACATCTTATGGAGTATATTACATGATGTTAATACGAAAAGTCATTGTTGACATGTTCGATTGGTCGGAAGGACCGTAGTCGGAGGGCGACGGAGGTAAGAAGACTTGTAGTCGATGGGCGACGTATGTCAGGAGGATCGTAGTCGGTTGGCGACGGAGGTCGGAAGGACTGTAGTTGGCGGGTGACGTAAGTAAGGAGGACCGTAGTCGGCGGGCGACATAAGTCAAGAGGAACGTAGTCGGCGAGCGACGGAGGTCGGAAGGACTGTAGTCTGACGATGAAGATCAGAAGGACAACGTCGGGTAGAAGTCCAACAATGGAAAGAAATCCATCTTCGCGTAGACGTCCAGTGAAGTCCAATAACCAGTAGAAGTCTGGCGTCGGGTAGAAACTTGGCAAAGAGTGAAGGTCCGACGTCGGGTAGAAGTTCGACGTCTGTTGGTGACAGAGGAGAACTCTGGTTTCACTTGGGTGGAGTTTCGGCGTCAGGAGGGAACTCTGTTGTAAATTGGAAAGAATTTCAGCATCACGTGGAAGTTGGGCAGAATTCCTGCGTTCTCCCGAATATCACTCAGAATCCCGACGTGTTCGGGTGGCAGGACGAACTCCGGCGGTGGTCGAGGAGGAAATGAGTCTCCTTTTCCCCTTTCTCCTCTTCTTCTCTTCTTCTTCTCTCTCTTCCCTTCCCCCGCTTTGTGAAGAATTAGGGCTCTATTTATAATTTTTCTGGAGTGGCATGGCTCGTAAAGAGGTGTGAGATCATGGGCAAATAGGGAGTGGTTTGAATGGACGGCCGATATTGAACCCTTTGATCGTGCACAGTTCGTTGGGTATTTGAAGGTCTTAATGATGTCGGAATTCTGCGATCTTGAGCTCGTTGGATTCGTCTCGTCGAGGCGCTCGATTCGAGTATAAGCTCGTTAAAATCGGATACCGTTTGATAACTCAAATTGCGGTTTGAACCTTCCAACAGCGCTTCGAGTCCTTGATTCGGACTCATTTGGGCTCGGATTGGGTTGAACTTGGTGTCGTTGGGTTCGTATTTCCGAGACGCACAGTTTTACTGTAGACTCGCTGAAATCAGAGTTATGGTGCTTCCGGATTTAATTTTTGAAGTTTCGGACAAGCTTTTTGCCTCGAGATTCGTGCCCGATCAAGATAATTTTGTGATGATGCATCAAACTTCATTTAAGATAATTTTATTATTAATTTTTAAAACACTTTATAAATATTTATATTGAAAAATTGCTTTAAAATGTTGTTAAAAGTTGTCTCAAACGAAACTAATACATCATTAAAAAATATTTATGATCAGGCATGAAACTCGAGGCAAAATCAAGTTGGAAACTTCCGAAATTAAAATTGGGACCATCCGAACTCCGATTTCATCAAACTTGCAGTCAAACTGAAAGTCTTGAGAATACGAACCCAACGACATCAAATTCAACTCAATCCGAGCCTAAATGAGTCCAAATCAAGGACCCGAAGCGTCGTTGGAAGGTTCAAATCATAATTTGGATTACCAAACTGTTTCCAAACGTTACATGCTTATAATCAAATCAAGCGGCTCGACGAGACGAATCCAACGAGCCAATATCACAGAATTTTAACATCATTAAGACCTTCAAATGTCTAGCCAACGGTCCACTATCAATAAAGATGTTCGCGCGGGCTTCTCCCTCTGGCTAGTGAATTCCTTTTCCGCTTGATTTAAGATGGTTTCTTTTACGCGGAAAATGAGCTATAGCCTAGCAATTTAGAATACTTTGGATTTCATTTCACTCTCCTCCACATCAAACCATATACGAAAAAAGTTCAAATAGGCGTATTTGATTTTTTTTACACCCTTTATTCTCAATCAAACAACTCAAAATTTTAAGTATTCATTTGAGGTAGTTATCATTTTTTATAAAAATAATTATGAGAAAAATATTTTTTAAAATCTATTATGACTATTTAAAAAAAAAAAAATCTAAGTTCAGCTTTCTCACAACTAATGCATACAAGCATATCTAATTGTAAGAAGTAGGTACTTATTATAATTTTTTTTGAAAAACAGACAAAAAGTAATAGTCAAATATTTGAAAAAGAAAGCAATTAAAATGTTATGCCAAATATATCCTTAAATTTCTGTTATCACATGAGCCAAAATATGCATGTGATGCTTGAAATAAGTTCTGGAAACCACTGTTATTTTATTTTATTTTTACTAAAAAATTGCTTAGCAGTAAGAAAGCCATCCCAAACATAATCATGATCTAATTCATGCGATACTGATTCCTTTTTTTTATGAACCATTACCAACTTTATCTGATAGTTTTTTATATGCATTATTTCTTGAAACTTTTAATCAGATAAATTTACGAGTACTTTTTTTTTAAAATAATTGCTCTGCTCTATTTCTAGTTAATGTAATTTTCAGTAATTAAATCCGTGTTTTACACTTCAAATATTATTTTACTTAGATTCTGATTGGGATTTTTCTAGGAAAGGTTCTGATGAAAAGCATAGCTAAAGGCCCAAAATGCTGCCCATCTCAATCAGTTTATATAGGGATCGCTTTGGACAACTTTCTTACTGCTTCTAAAATAATTTTATAGTATAAAAATATTTTGAACTAAAATTTTTTGTACTAAAGAATTGTTTTAGAAAGCAGAAAGAAAGTTGTCCCAAAAGAAGCCTAAGGCTTTGTTTGGGACTGCTTTCTTATTATTTTTCGAAGCCGCTTTCTAGTACAAATTTTTTTATTACTAAAAAGCTGATTTAGAAAACAATAAAAAATAGACCCAAACAAAATCATAATGATTATGTATAGTGATCTATCAGGCTACTATACCAGTTGTTGTGGGCAAATTATTGGGTCAGATGACCGGAGACGAAAAATAAGTTCGGACATCCAATAACAATTTGCCGCGTCACCTTGCGCTTTAGTTGCGCTTTTTGACTTGCGCTTTAATTGCGTTTTAGTTGCTCTTTACCTGCGCTTTAGTTGCGCTTTTTGACTTGCGCTTTAGTTGCGCTTTACCTGCGCTTTAGTTGTGCTAATTTTAAAATAATATTTTATTAATATCCGGACCTATCTCTGCATTCGGTCACCTGACCCAATAATTTGCCGTTGTTGTGAGGGAATGATGAAAAAAAATTGCAGAAAGAAAGAGTGCAGGACAAATAAACAAAATAAAAAAGACATTTGATTAAAATAAAATAAATTTACATAATTACTACTTTTTGCTAAAAAGCCCTCAAATTCATTCTTTCTACGATGTTTTTGGCCTAACATTCTGCACCTCCAGCTTAATAAGACAAATGAAATTGCAAATGATTTGTCATTATGATTCTATGATGATAATCTGATTATGTGAAGACCTTCACAACCTCAGATGCTTCATCAAAGAAGTAGAAAATTTATGTTAACACAAACCATTACTGCCTTTTTTAGTTATGACGAACATGGATGGATATGCTTAGAAGAATAATTGTCTGAACCACATAAATATCCAGCTAGAAAGTGTCAGCAATAGTAAGAGTGTGTATTTGAAGCATAGTCAAAAGAAGAAAGAAAACCACAGATATTCAAATGCCCTTGCAGAAAGTTTGTCGAAGATTTAAAGTACTGGAAACAAACATTATTCGAGCTATAAGTTGAAAGATTTTAAGAACCGGCGTAAGGTTTCATTTGAGACGGCTTTCTTCCTGCTTCTTAAAGCTGCTTTTTAGTACAAAGATTTTAATTTTTGTACTAAAAAGCTGTTTTAAGAAATAGTAAGAAAGTTGTCTAAAACGAAGCCTAAGTAGAGCTCATGTATCATTATTCACTTCCACTTCTTGAACTTGCCTCCAAAGTTTCCATGTTTGCCATGCTTCCCATGCTTGAATTTACCATGATGTTTGCCATGATGCTTGAACTCACCACCATGATGACCATGTGCTTTGTATTCTCCATGATGACTCTCATGTGTCATGTGGTGAGCTCCGTAAGCTGTGGCAGCGGCGATGGCAGCAGCAACAGTACCACCAGCTACCACTGCTCCCAAGTGAGTTCCATGTCCTAGAAATATGGCATTGCAGGGAGATGATAAATAAAATCTATAAAGCCTCCTTTCTATAGTACCTATTGAAGCCCTACTGTTTAAGACAAGCCAATTTCATTCATCTTAGTCTTTTATGATTGAATTGATCTATTGAAATTGAGAAATCCATCTGAGTGGTTAGTTTGTATTTCACTTTGGGCTTATTAGGTTGCTTTTAGATAAAGAATGAGCTTATAGAATAATGATTTTGTTTTCACTTAGGCTTTGTTTTGGGACAGTTTTCTCATTGTTTCTTAAAGCAACTTTTTAGTATAGAAGTTTAATTTTTTTTACTAAAAAGTTACTTTAAAAAGCATCAAGAAAACCATCCTAAACGAAGCCTTATTCACAAATTGATAGAAGCAAGTATATTGCACCAATTTCCAATATATGTTTTCTAATTTCAAGCAGTAAAATGGGTTCTCAGTAGCTTCTTTGCATTGTCTTTTGGTATGTGAAATCTAGATAGACTGTTCAATTATGCAGTTAAATTATTGAAGAAACTCCTTTAATTTTCTTTCTCATTCACCTTTGAGGACGGGTCGGAAAGGATAACTTGAATAAAATTTCTCTTTTATAAATTCAAAAAAATAGTGTTGGGCAGTACAAAAAGTCATCGATGGAGCAAAATATGATTAAAAAGAGAGCATTAAGGGAAATATACCTTAATATGACAAAATTAAGAAGAAAGGATGGTAAAAATATCATTTATTACAGATGAATAATAAAAAAATATTAATGATTTGAACATATGTTATAAATGATAGAAAATGCACTGATAAGACAAGTAGATACTATCATCGAAGGATTTAGAAGAAAATGAGAGTTAATGGATATAAGTGTAAGAAAAAAATAATTAAAATAGGTTTAACATCTACTGAGACAATCCAACAAAATAAATGAAAAGTTAGAATTTATTTCATGAAAAATAGTTTAGAATATGATACTCTAGAATTTAATTTAGAAGAATTATTCTTTTATCTTTTAATAAATAATAACTAGAGCGACATAATTTCTTTTATCAATATCAATAGCAGCAAAAATTAAACTATTGATCAAAATATCAATATATACATATGTATTTAATTCCCAAAATCATATACACTATTCAGTATCAACACAATCATATCGTAATTATTCAATCATGAGTACAAAAAATAACTAAAATAAAAAAGAAACAGAACCTGAAGAATCCGTATCAAAATATGGGCTATTACAATCTACTCACCCCTTAAGTAAAAGAAGCTAAACTCTAATGTATCAAAAAGAATGCCACATATCAAAAAATAAATCAACCATTTTGACCACTCTAATGTATTTGTGATGATAATTATCTAGTGTTGATAATTTCCAAAAATAGTTGGAGTCTTTCACCGAAATAACAATGGCAAAAGTAGTAAAAATTTCAAAATTAATCATTACGATTAAGTTCTGTTGTGATTGGTCAAGATTTAGGTGTACTTTCTTTGTTTAGGTTCTTTTTGTGTAGCTTTTGATGTTACTATTTGTAGCCTATAAATAAGCACTAGGCTGTAACATAATGTAAGGTTAAGCAATAGAAATCCATTTCAGATTTCAGCCATCTATATATCTCTCTCTCTCTCTGTCCCTCTCCCAAGAAACTCAAGAGGAAGAACTCCTTCCTCTCATCCAAGATCCTACAAGTTCACGATTCTAGATTGTTTATTCCATTAAAAGACGCTCAAATTTTTTTCTATAAAGATGAATTCATCAAGCAGGTGGCAGATAATGAATATGAAATTCTACACAACAGACTATTAACGTAAACAAACAAAAGTAGATCTTTATGGTCAAATCTGGATTGAACAAGGATTAGAAAGAAAATAAAAATCATGAAAACTCTAAAGCATAGCAATATCTTAAAGAGTTTTAAGCTTACCTTGAGAGTGAGATGCAGAAGAACCATGATGCGTATACCCAGCTGGCGGGTAACCTTCTGGGGGATAACCCTGTGGAGGGTACCCTTGTGTAGGATAGGCACCAGGAGCTGGAGGGTACCCTTGCGGTGGGTAGCCTTCAGGTGGATAGTGTCCTGGAGGGTGTGAATGCCCATGGGAAAAAAATCCTTTATCATGGCTATCTGATCCATCATGCTTGTCCTTACCGCCTCCCATTTTATTGACACCTAAAGCTTAAATAAGAAAATCAGGAGTTAAAAATAAAAAAAAAACAGGAATGCATAAATGCATTACTAATTCCACAAACACTTCCACTAACATTAACATTAGCTAAGCCCCTGGTACTTAGAATATTATTTTGTAAGAAAGATGGAACAAGAAGGCCCCATATTGAGCCCATTATGCTGGTAGATGGACACGCACTAATCCAAAAGGTTAAACTTTTTGATAATGACCAAACTGTATATCAGGTACTCAACTTATTTTTACTTAAGATGTAGGATTACTTTTTTATATGTATATTAACAATCACCGACTCACTCGAGATTTCTTCACATCTATCATCCCTCTCCCTTAAACAAATTATTTTAGTACCATCAAATGTTGTGGACCATGAGCTCACCAATACTGAGCTTTAGCGGAAGTTAACCTCTCTTAAAGTTCGTTTGAAACGACTTTCTTACTGCTTCTTAAAGAAGCTTTTTAATATAAAAATTTAAATTTTTTAATAAAAAATTATTTTAAGAAGCAATAAAAAAGTCTAATACCAAACGAAACCTTAAACTTTGGTCATATAAATTAAAAAAACCTCAGAGCTGTGAAAAGCTAAAACTACATGGAACAATTAATCTTATCAAAACCATTAGCTTAAATAGCACTCATCAGGAAGGTGAGATACTAGGGAGTGGGAGTAAATTGAAAATCCAATATACTTGTGGAATTCAACTCAACGCTTATTTAACTTCCAATGAAAAAAAAAAAAAAAAGACAAAAACAAAAAAACTTCCAATTAGAAACTATTTTCCACTCTTGTGGATCTCAACACTTCCCAACTTCGCAGCTGCATAAGTGTCACTGCAAAGTGTAATAAATTTTTTTAATGTACTCTATGATAGAATTCAAGCTTATGACGCCCGATCATCTCAGCAAGCCATATAAATTTATTTCTGTAATGCAAACCATTGGAAGCAGAGACTTGCTCTGCAGTAAGTTAACAAGCTATCATAATATACTAAGAAGCATTGATAGGATTAGAACTCTAAGAATATGGAGGAAAAATGTATGTAAATGTTAGTATTCATAAACGATAGAAAAGTATATACATTTGTCTCATATAGGCTTACTTCTCATGAAATAATTGGTTAAACATTCTGATAGGCCGGTCCATTGGACCCGTCCAACCGGTCCATGCGGGACCGGCCTAGGCCGAAACTTCTCCGCCTCCTGCGTATGCCGATCATGCCGCTAGGTTCAAGGGAGCCCATTTGGAAGGTTTTTTGAGAGACTTGGGAGGGAATATTGAATGTAGGGACTGTTTAGGGATTTCGTTTTGATTTGTATGCATTAAATAGTTTGTTTTCCTAGGGTTAGGGCATATTGAATTTGGCTGATTTTGAGATCTCTTAGGTTTAGGTTTTGGGCTCTAGATTCGTATAGAGATTGGGAGAGATCAATCCTCCTATCGAATAGAGGATCACTTGTATCTTGTTGCTTTCTTCCGATCTATTTGATTCGTCTAGATCTTTCAGTGGAAAGAGATGCTTACTCAAGGATGAAAAATTAACTAAGAGAATTAGATGAGTTAATTGTAAGCTGACACATTGATCAATGCTCAAATGCTGTAGACGGATAGTTCTAGGAAGCAAGAATAGTAGTTCAATTCCAGCTTTATAAATCATACTTCAGATCAATAGGCCAATATGTCAAATGAAATTAAGTAATCTTCATTCAAAACCAGTACACATACCTTTGAAGTTTAAACAAAGAGCAAATATCAAAAAAGGGAAGGAGTTACAACCTTCTCTAAAACAAACATAAAAGATTCTGAAATTACACTATTTGAAAGAACCAGACCCTCTTATCCCCTAAATTTACAAATTAATCTGCAATATATGATACTACAATCCTGAGCTAGAAGTTGTCTACTTACTATCTTCCTTATCAAAGGTTTAGGTTAAGTTTTTTTTTTTTTTTTTTTTTTTTTTGAGCCATATAAATCCTGCTGTCTCCTTTAATCATGTATTTCTCCCCATTTAAATTAAGATTTCGTTTGAGACGGCTCTCTTGTTGTTTCTTAAAACAAATTTTTTTAATTTTTTATTTTTTTTAACTAAAAAATTGTTTTAAAAAACAGTAAGAAAGACATCCCAAATAAAATCTAAATCCTGAGAGAAATAAGATTTAGGATTTACACCAGCTCTCATTGTTCCTTTCTTCTGTTTAACTTAAACCCTAAATCTCAAAAATATATTTCAAAAAATAAATATCAGGATTAAATGTCTCCAAAATTTACTGAATTTGGATTTATAAGATTTACATAACCCTAATTGAATCAACACTTATTTTAAGCTAAACAGCTCCTAAATTTGAACAGCAAGCATTGACCGATGACTATATTTGACCGGAAGCATCAATATTAACCCTAATACAAGAAACCAAAGACTTTATTTTCACTAAATCAGATAGTCTTAAGTTATTCAACAGCTTATCAGAATCCAAATTTCAAAATTAAAACAAAAAAAAAGATATCCATCCTGAAGTCTGATACGAATAGCACTGCTCTTCATAAAAATTGACCTTTTCAAGTTTCAATGAAAGCCAAAATCGAAGAACAGCACTTAAAAATAAAATAAAATAAAAGTTTAAACGATTAGGAAATTAAAAAAAAAAAAAAAAAGATCGGAAGACGAAGTTTGAACGAACTACGACGACAAGAAAGAGAGAAGAACTTACTGATTCAGAACTACAGATGCTTATGAACGCGAACGATAACGAAGAACAGAAATGGGTCAATTCAAATTAAACGGAGGGATTTTAAAGGAAAGTTCTTATAAATTTATTTTAAAATATATAATTAACCAAATTTTATATTATATTCGTCTTGAAATAAATAACAAACTTTGAAAGTCAACAGATCTTCCGTTTTCAACGGCGCTTTGGAGAGCGAGATATCTATCATACACGTGGCAGGAGGTCCACTTAGGACGTGGTCCTCTTCCGCGGTCAAGATGGCGGGTTTCTTGTTCACCAAACAAAGATAATAAGTAATTTATTGTAAAAATCGGATTAATTTTTATTGAATTTTTTACATTTATTTTTTTATGGTATGTCATTTTTTCCTTATGGTTATAGAATTGAATTTTGTCTTAAGGAATTAGTTGATTCGAGCTTATGGTAATTAGATGAGTGTAATGATATTTAAATAGTAGAAAAGTAAATAATATAATTTAGAGATTAGATATGTAATTATAATAATTTTAAGTATTAGATATGTAAAAATTTCTTTTGACACTTCTCTCGTTAATTGGTAAGTGTGCAATCAATAGAGTGTGTTAGAAAATTAGAATTGTAACGATTATTAGTAATTCAATGAATAATAAAAATATAATAACATTTATACATAAATAATTAAAAATATTTGTAGTAATTAATATATTATTATAATTTTTTATTATAAATATTAGGTATATGTAACGAAGTTCAACTCTTGGCCATCTTAATTTAATTTGAATGACAAAAAATAAAACATCCTATGTTTAAATGGATGGCCAAGATTTCTAATTGCACAAAGGATGATTAGGAACTGTATCCCCTGTTCTTCTTCCAAACTTACAAAATCATATTATGAGCAATAACTTGTTCAAATAAATTTTTTGAAAAAGGGATTTTAATGGGAAGTCCTGACCGGGCTCTTTTATCATGTTGAGGAAATTAAACGCAACTTGGTACATTTCATTGTAATACTACAGGTTGTAATATCGACAAATAAGAGCGGCAAATTAGGATAAAAAAGAACGGAGATAAATTATAAAGTCACAGAATTTGTCTTCACACATTTTGAGGTGAAACACATTTTGATTTGAAACAATAATTAAGGGTTTGTTTGAGACGATTGTAGTATGTTGTAAAGTTGATTGTAGAGGTGTTGAAATGGGTATTCAAGTCAAGTTTGAGTCGAACCCGTAATTGACTCAAGCCCAATACACTTGACCCGAATCCGACACGCCAAATTACTGGGGTAACCTCGCCCGACATGAAAACTATGGGTGCGAGAGAGAGCGCAGCACGAAAGTGAAACTATAGGCAAGGTCTGCCACGAGGATGCATGAGACCGGGCCAGGGCTATGTGCGTGACATCATGAGTGCGCGAATGAGCGACTGCAGGTGTGGCCGCGCGGGAATGCGCGACTGCATGAGGTACTATGAAGCCATGCTTGCGCTGGGTGACTAGCGAGCAGGGGCGGAACCCCATGGTCTTAAGGAGGGGGGGCAGGGGAATTGCCCCCCCTAAAAAAAATAATTTTTTTATATTATATGCCTTTTTAGGTAATTTATAGGAGTTTCTACTTCTTATCAGAGTTTAGGATTCCTGTAGGATCTCAATTGTACAAACATATAAAAAGCACTGATCAAATGACCAAGAATTTTTTTTTAAAAATTATGTTTTAAATCACAATACCATTACTCACCAAGCAATTTCTAGAGCTGTACAGCTACAAAGAGAAGAACCATCCATACACAAACCAAGCTAAGGAAATCCCGAAGAAAGGTCGCTGTATTGCTTCTGATACGCTGGATTCACGCATCGAAATATAGATGGTTTCTTCTTAGGCTTGACGCCAAACAGAAAGTTTCGGAGTGGAATGTGAGTTTTTGATGGAAAATGCCTGAAGATGTTGCTATGGTGCCGGCTTCCCTGAGAACTGGAAAGTTCAAATTTCTTATGAAACTCCGACAAGATCTTGTCTACTTCAGCTCGAAGCCCCTTAACATGATCAAAACCAGCTTGCAATTCAATGGCAACCTTGTTGTTCTCACGTTGCATGTTTGAGACCTCTCCTTGAAATATGGCCGCCTGATAGGGAGATAACTGGACTCCATCAGATTCCAAACTTGAAGCAAGAGCTTCCGATATCTCCTCCTGAATGTTGCAAAGAGCTTTGAATCTAGTTTGGGATTCTCCTTTCAGCAAGTCATTCTGTTCCAACCATACCTGCAACTCGGTTTTTAATTCTCCCAGTTGTTTGTCAATACGTTCAGAATCTGATGAAGTTTGCAGATCGTTGAACTCCAATTGGAATTTCTGTAATTGTTGGAAAAAAGAGCTGAATCTTAACCAGAAATCCAAGTTCTCATCAAGCAGTGCATCAATGTCCCTTCGAAAATTTTCCTCCACATGAGAAGCAGATTGTGATGTATGTGTAGCTTCATATACTAAATCCTTTTTCACTGTAATTTGGGAAGATGTACTTTCAGGTATCAGGCTTGAGCTCTTCACTTCATTTGAGTTTTCAAGCTCTTTTTCATTTGGTTTCTTCTGCTGTTTGCTAAGCCTTTGCTGCATTGATCTAAGTTCCTCATCTTTTTTGTCATTAGCCTTTTTCAACTCCACTAATTGTGTTTTTGTCTGTAAAACATATTCTTGATTTTTCTGCTCAACCTCCAGAAGCCTTTTCTTTATTTGCTTATAGTTGCGAAGGATTGATGTGTACTCTACCAACAATATCTTTTCCTTATCTTCTACCCCATTCAACAAAGACTGTAGCGAGCTGAGAGAATCTTCCTGCTGAAAAGATTGAGTCCCATCTTTACTTAGCTGGGTGGCATAATCCACTCTAACTTCAACTTCATTAGCTTCATCTGCAACTGAACCATCCCTTCCATCATGTCTTCCTTTGGTTTCTTTATCTTCAGGCTTTTGAGGTTCCACATTGATAATAGTATTCTCTTTCTCTTGAGAGATGAATGCAATATTAGCCTCCTCATTTTTGGGATGCTGCGGTTTCCCTAAATTATAAGTGGTATCGAGACATGAATCATCTGAACTTGTGGAAGGATTAACATTTGCACCATGGGAAGACTTCTTAATATCCTGCATTTTATAAATTTCCTCTTCAGTTTGCTTTAATCTGTCACTCGAATTACCTGAGGCCTCAATCAAAGTCAATTTCTCCTCTTCTAAGCTCTCTACATGTTTCTGAAGTTGATTAGTTTCGGTTCTTAGACTCTCTATTTGTGCATTCTGCGAAGAAGTTGTAAGTTCTAAACTGATGACTTTGTTCACAAGTTCATTAATCTTCTCTGCAAGTTCAACCAGAGACATATCAGGACCAATCTGAACAGGTACTTGATTCTGTTGGGGAACTTCCACCTCAGTACCACCATCAGAATTTATGCCTTCAATTTCTTCCAAGATTGTTTTGTTCTCTTCTGAGTCTTCCTTGAAAGACTTTAGCTTCTCTTTAGCCATCATTATTCTCCTTGACCCAATTCTGGTGAATTCTGCTGACCTTTTCTGATTTTCCTGCAAGATAAGTAAGGTATCCTCACAGGACCTTAGTGCGGCTGTTGCCATCAGGGTGCGGGCTTCGTCATCTTCAATTACCACACTTTCCCCACACTCATCTTGCAGAATATTAAGCTCCTCCTGCATTGATACTATCTGCTTTTCAATCTCCTGGTATCTGGCAATTGCATTTTCATAAGAACTTCTAATAAATTCCTTTTCAGTCTGAAGAACCAAAATTTCCTTCTGAATTCTGTCAATCTCTTCTGGTACTCTGTCTCTGTCTATCTTGGAAGGAGGATGAGGCTTATCAAAGGATGAATTTCCTTTTTTATTATTTATTAAGTTATCCTGAGAAATATCTAATGCCAGCCTATTTAATTTACTGAAGTCTATTGATGTAATTGCTTTAGGTAAATGATCATCATCCTCATCTTGCACGTCAAACTGTACCTGGTCAGGAAAAGCAGTAGCTATGGTGTGGTTGGCCTTGTGCAACTCCCCTGAAATGTGATCATATCTTTCAGCTAATGCTCTATATGCCCTGTAAGTCTCTTCCACAAACTTTATGAGCTCTGGTCTCTTCTTAAAGTACAGCTCTGCCTTTTTTGAAAAGGAATCGGCATCTTCTTCAATAATCTTGAGCATTGACTTAACTCGGTCATCCATCTCTGCAATCAAGAAAGAAAATGCCTTGTTTTGTCATTAACACCGGAGTTGAAAATGGCTAGCCAACTTTTGGAACGCCATAGAAAAGAGCTTCCATATAATATTAACTTCGACTGGCACCATAAACTGGTTAAAAAACAAGTCATTCACCGATTGATGGAAATGAAGTTGCTAATGATTCATCAAACATGTTTAATATAATTTCTCACAGCAAACTATACTTAGACACGCAATTCAGCTTCCACCAGCATGTTAAAAAGGAGGAATATAATCTTCATCTAATCTTAAGAAAGGACAAATACATGTGTTCAGAAGGCATAATCTAGAATTATTAATAATTTAAGGCCATTATAGACTAGAATTATTAATAATTTTTTTTATTAAAGAAATATTTAATAATTTTTTTTAAAAAAAATACTATAACTTAAAAATTATATTTAATAAATAATTTAATTAAAAAATGATCAAAATACCACTTGATTTAATACCTTTAACCTCAAAAATTAATTTTATGACCAAAAAGACCCATTTTTAAGGAGTTGAGAGACCAAATTGGTCCCTCAAAAAAATTGGAGATCATTTTGATCCCTCACAAAGAGTTGATGGACCATTTTGATCCTTTTCTTTTAAACTTTTCTATATGCTAAATAACAGCTTTGCATGTCATAGATATGGTTGGCTTCCTATATCATGTCTTTTTTACAATTTAAAATGGTATAAAATACATAGCATTCTCAACTTTGATAAACTTAGTTTGAGAGGATTAGAAAGGAGAGGTAGACCAATGTTATATGAATAGAAGTTATTATAAATGATTTATGAGGCAACATTAAACAGGAACGAATGGAAAATGTGTATTCATAAGCCAACCCCAAACAATTGGGATAAGACTAATGATGATGATGGTAATGAATTAATGATCAACTTTAATACAGTCTGAAACTTTTATGTCAGCTGAAAGGAATAGATTAAGCAGACTACGTGTATTCAAGAAAGAACCAGTGACATCAAACCCTTCAAACTGTATCAGCATACCACCTTAATTAAAAATAAATAAAATCTATGCAGCAAGCTTTTGGCTTTAACCAATGTGAAATGTGTCCATAGTATATACAAGGGCACCTCCAAGACATACCAACATGGATCAAGGAATCAATAGTAAAATTATTCCCCCCAGACAAATAAAAAAAAAAAAATCCAGCTAAAGAGACAAAGCCCTGTTAGCTTCAGTTCTTCCATTTATAAACAAACTAGCTTTCACGTTTGAGCCCATACTAATAAGTTCAAGGCAAAAGCTTGCAGACGCTTCCCCTTCATATCTTCCAAAGACTAAAACGAGCAGTTCATTAAAGTAGAAGAGTCAAGGGCCAAAGTAAATCAGATCACTTAGATCTCTGCAGTGAAGATTCTGGACTCAAGAAATGTGCAAGTACTAGATAAATTATCCACCGACATCTCAACAAAAATGAATAAAGAAGATTAATTAGAATGAGGGAAGGACTGAACAGAAAACTCGGATACTACATTCAACAAATCTGTTTTAAAAAACATAGATAACAAAATAAGGCTTACATCTAAAATATTAATACAAGAAAATGATCAAAATGGTCCCTGAATTATTTACAAGGGGTCATTTTCATACAAACTACTTAAAGTCTTAAAATATCCAAGCTAAGGTCTATTTGGGGCAGCTACAGTTTTTTATAAATATAGTTAGTAAAATTATTATAGGAAAAATAACTTTTTTTAAAGCTATTGCAAATATTGTAATATGTTCTTTTTTTAAAAAAATGAGATAACAGCTTTCTTACAACTCCCACATATTAGTAGGTCCAATTAAAAAAAATAAAGCTTTCTATATATTTTTTTTCAAATGCAACAAGAAAATAATAGCCAAACAGAAGCTTGGTTGCAGCATAAAAATCAATAGTCAAATTGGCCCGAAGTCCATTAGCTCCACAAATATGATCCAAAATATCCCACAATTAGAAACATCATTTAATTTAATAAAATTTGTGCGCAAAGTTCATGAATGAGGTGAAGAATAAGGGTAATTTTGATAAATAAAACTTTTATACATCTTGATTAGTAGAAATACCCTCATTTGCGAACTTTGTGTGAAATTCTCATCAAATTAAATAGCAATTCTAACTATGGGACTATTTTGGATTATCTTTCAGGAATCAAGAAACTATACTAAACATTTTAAATAATAAGTGACCAAAATGGCTCCTCAAAATATAAACAATAAGTATCTTATATTTGAGTTTGCTGAATATTTCCGTTAAACTGACCATGTTATTCCAATGAAATCATAGCAAAAATTAGCAAATTAAGCAACAATGGATGTTTTATTATGCCTCATTAATTCAGCTACTACTATTTTCTATCTATATATTATATTTTTCTTAAAAAAAATTTATGAAGCTCAAACACTCCAGGAGGCCCTTGCATAGTCAAAGATACAAATGGACACCCCATCATGAAACACCAATTGGATTATCTTTTTTTCACCATCCTCTTTATAATTCCCTCTCTTTGCAACCTGTTTTATTCCTAACTATTATTTGTGGTATAATCATCACAAGTTCACTTGTCTCCCTGTATTTCATAATTTTAATCTACATACTACTTATAGCAGATTCTCTCATCCATCCACTTTATGCTGTTTAAAGTATATACAACTGTTATTCAAGAATCAAGACCAAAGAAGGAACCAGAAGTTTATCCAACAGCATGATGAGAGAGAGAGTAGAAAGTAAAATCTACCAATCACCACACCTCCCCTGCAAGTTTTAAAAACATACTTGGGAGGTGCAGAAAACTATCACTTAGTCATAGTTTTTTATTGTGTCATAATTTCAAGATTCTCATGTGGAAATGTTCATATTGTTCGTGTTACTATTCATTGTTCACATTGCTGCACAGCACGAAGTATTCCTATAGATTCATATTTAATCAAGAGAATCATCCACAGCAATTCACAATCATGGTCATAATTTTATGCTTCCTTTCATCACCTCCTACTCTACAAGGTTTAGGAATTTCATCAGAAGTTAATCCAAATCAAAATATCCATATTTGCACCATCTACTGCATCGTTTGCGTTATTTTTTATTTTAATTTGCTTGTATCAGTTAGGATTCCAATAAAGAAAATCGACTATTACATAATCCAATGAATTAAAATCAGATGTGATTAGAAGGTGCATTTCCAGAATATCAAGCCTTCCCTAATTTAATTGCATGCCACTATCAAAAGCTTTGAATATCCTTTTTGTGCAAATAAACAAATAGACAAAAATAGAACAGAAACAGAATTCATTCTGATATATTAAGATAAATAACAATTAACTCAAACACATTGATTGGGACTTTGGAAGAAGAGAGAAAAGAAAGGAAATTAAAAGAAAGTATTTATCTTGATTGGAAGTGTAAGATGAGCATAAAAGAGAAGAATATAGAGGAACAAATTTCTTCAAAAATCAACAATTTATTTCCATCATAATTTGAGCAGAAAGAGGAAAGCATTATCAGGATTTATGTTTATAAAAAAAAGCTTCCTCTAAATCCTATGGCAACCATAAATAGATATCAAAAGAAAATTAAATGCTAAATGATAACTTGATATTTCTTTCTTTTCAAGTTCAAATGCAAAAATTTAGCCCACCAAAATCTAACGGACCTTGCCCACCAAAAGGTGAGATCATTTATTTGATGCTTGCCTTTGCTATTAAATTCAGTCAATATTAAAGAAGAAGAAGAAGAAAAAGAAGAAAAAGAAGAAGAAGAAGAAGAAGAAATGAAGTTCTTTATTTTGAAAACTCAAAATCAAGTAGATTTCAATCAAGGTGAAACCCTTTCACATAAAACAAAAAAAAAAAAAAGAGAAAATTGGAATAAAAAGAGATACATATATGTTCCAGAGCTCCCCATGAGATAACTTTCAATTTCAAACACAATCTGATCTATCATCCTCCCCTCCATCAAACATGCATAAAAAAATAGGCGAAAACGATAAGAAACTCCACATCAGATCGAAATCTCACCACGGAGAATATTTTCGAGCCATTTGGACTGATTGGTGCGGATATGACTTGCCCACCACCAGGAGTACGCATTGCTCGCCGCTCTCCGCAACATCTCGCTGCTCCACCTCGCACTCCTACACCCTATAAATCCCCCGCGGATCGCAGAAAATGGCAAAAAAACTCCACCAAATTAGCATCGACAAAAGGAGAAACAAAAAAGGAAACGAAATCTCGATAGAGGGAGGAGATCGAAACCTCAACTGAATTCCAACAGCGAATGGTTAAAAATAGAAGGATAAGCGTAAACAACGACCACAGTAGTTGTTGGAAGAGAAGGAGAAGAAGAAGAAAAAAAACAAGGGAGAAGAAGAAGAGGAAAGGAGGAGGCATCACTGAGGCAGACTGCTTTCCGCTTTTCATCTCGCATTTCGTATGCTTCGCTGTAATTGCCGCTGGCTATTTGGAAAAGTTACGTGGAGAAGATCTGAAAGGAGACTCCGACGAGCGAGCAAAGCCAATACTGCGTGGCTACGTGCGATCCACGTCGGTGGTCGCCTGTTGACCCGCCCGACCATGTAATAAATTTTAGGGTGTAAACGAGTCTAGTTGAGTCAGCTTGAGCTTGTTTAATTAATCAAGTTTGAGCTCGAGTCCAAGCTTTATTCTATAAAGTTCAAGTAGACTTACGAGCTTACTCAAATCAGAGAAACTAATTATGATTTAGATATGTATTATAATAAAATGATAAAAGAAATGAAAAACAATGAAGAATTATTTAATAATTAAAATATATTTTTAAACCATTTATTTATACTTAATTTTTTTGAATGCTAATATATTTTAAGTGTATTTTATATTAATATTTTTTTAAATGAAACTGCTTGCAGCTAGTTAACATATGTCAAACCTTGCTCAAACTTGACTCATTTGCTTCAATGAGCTAAAACTTACAAGCCATATATCGAGTTGATTGGGGATTGGCTCAAGAATCAGCTTGATTCACTTGCACCTTTTATTTGGATATAACAAAATTTATTCATAATGATGTAATAAAATTTAATTATTTTAAATGAGCATACAATATAATTAATTAATTAATATTTATATTATATTTATTTTTTAAATTAAATTCCAATAATTTTAAAAAATATTAAAGAATTTATTTTAAAAATATGCATTACTAAAAATTTTATTATTATATTTCTTAAAAAAGTCTTAAATTATATATATATATATATATATATATATATATATACCCCTCTCTTTCAAGAGGATTCACGGCATGTCAAGCCCTCGTAAGGTTCTTCGCTTTGCATCGAATTAAAGCACATGCTCCACCGCTTGTGCGGGCCCCTGTCAATTCATTTGAGTTTCATTCTTGCAAAAGAACTCCCCAGATGGGATACTTAACGCGTTAGCTATAACACTACACGGGTCAATACACACAGCGCCTAATATCCATCATTTTACAGCTATGACTACTAGGGTATATAATCACATTTGCTCCCCTAACTTTCATCTCTCAGTGTCAATGCCAACCCAGCAGAGTGCTTTTGTCATTGGTGTTCTTTCTGATCTCTATGCATTCATCACTCAACTGGAAATTCCCTCTGCCCCTATCGTACTCCAGCTTGATAGTTTCCACCGTCTGTCCAGGTTTAAGCCCTAGAATTTGACGGTACGACTAACATTTTCTCTTTGCCTAAAAAGACATTATAATGTTGGATTTTATTGGCATGTTTCTATTTGATCAGACTTTGATCCAAAACAATTAATATTATTTTTGCCAACCCAATCAGACTTTAATAAATATCACTTTGCTATAGAATCCTAAGCCTTATTGTCATATAATTCAATTTGATGGCTGATATTGCTTCTTTCAAAGTTGAAGTATTTGTAGAATAATCAAATAAAACTGATTCAATAATATAAAATGAATTGAATGAAAGAAACTTCTAGCTTTGCTACAAATATTGCTACAAATATGAAGTTTTTTTTTTTTTTTGAAAGATAGAAAAGTATCCTATATTTTAATTAGATGAGCCTAAAGCTCATGAAATAATCGATCCAAGCCAACTAAGGCTTCATTTGGGGCAGCTTTCTTAATGCTTTTAAAGCAGAAAGAAAGTCGTCTCAAATGAAGCCTAAATTTGGCCTAGCATGAATTTGGCCGAGCTCGATGCAAATATTTGTAGTAGAGTTCAAGCAGTAAGAAAGAAGTATTACTGTTAGAGCTTGATGCAATATGTTAACTAGCAACATTATTGAACAACTGGTTCAATTTGAGAAGCCTTGTTGAGTCTATGAAGCACAAAACGTTGAGCTTAATAAATGAGACGTCAGTTAAATAAAATGCAAAAAGTATTTTAACAAGCACAAATAAGTAGCTTAGGTTCATTGGCAAACCAATTTAATTAGAAAGGAGGAGTATTTTTCCTAAGTCCTAGACTTTGTTTGGGGCGATTTCTTACTGATTCTTAAATCAGCTATTTTATATTAAAAAAATATTTTAAAAAACAGTAAGAAAATCATCCCAAATGAAAGCCGAAATAATTTTTTTTTACAGCTTTTCTTTTCAAACTACAAACACATTTTTTATTTGGCCACTATTTTTTATCATTTTTAATAAATTTTTATACTAAAAAATTATTTTCTATAACATTTTTTTTAAAATAAGTCAACTTCAACAAATAATCATAAACGGACTTTAACAAATAATTATAAACAAGTCCAAAAATAAGTTATTTTTATATTATGCCAAATCCATATTCAAAATCAGTCAAATTGCCCTATAACAAGACCTTAAAATGCATTCCTTCATCTGTAGTAAGGCATAGAATTTCAAGTTCTTTGCTACAAGCCTACAAAACCAAAATCCTCAACATTCGTCTATTAGTTCTCATTCAAATTCCAAGCTGAACAAATATCGTAATAATAAGTTTGCCACATGATCTCATTTTTTGTTATTATATTCCTACAAATCTTTTAAGTTTTACTATCGTATTGGTATGCGTGCGCCTAGCCCATGCAGTAGTAAAATTCAATGGCGACGCTCGAGAACCCCAATGTTATATATTTACATTAAACTGCTAAAAACAGTTTTTCCTTTAAAACACAAATTCACAACCTCACCCCTCCCAACATAGATAAACTATTCTTTGCGCAGATACAGACGCCGTCCAGAGGTCCGGAGATGAAATAGAATGCGGAACATCACTTTTTTACTGTGTAACGCAACTATGTATCGCTGTTTACTTGATGACATGACAGGTTCTGATGCAGCTCCGAATGGTTCGATGTCAACATAGAATAATTTCTCCCCAATATATCCCTTTCATATAATGTCTTCATTTCATTTGTCTATTTCCTTTCAATGCTTCTCAAGTTCTTTTAACTTCTTTTGAGATAACTTCCTTGTTGTTTTCTAAAGCTACTTTTTAGATCAAAAATTTTTTGTACTAAAAAATTGCTTTAAGAAACAGTAAGAAAGCCATTCAAAATGAAGCCTTAGGCTTCATTTGGGATGTCTTTCTTACTGCTTATTAAAGTAGTTTAATAGTACAAAAATATTAAATTTTATACTAATATACTATATTAAGAAGCAATAAAAAAATCGATCTCCAATGAAGCCTTACTATCATGCAACTAACAAGAAAAGCTCTCTCTCTCTCTCACTCTAGTCAACTATAACAAATGTTTTCTCTCTCACTTTTCTTGACAAGCATGCTATCTATCGTAGTATGAACTTTAGAAAGACTACTATGTAGGCTTCGATCAAAGCTAGCCTTCAACAAGGTTCAGTATCCTCATGCAGTCATCATAGTACTGCATCAGCGAAGTCCCTATTGAGGTCAAGCAAATCCCTAAAAAATATCCTCTCAGGAAACATATCAGAAGCTCAACTTAATTAAAACTCTGCGTCTCCTTCAAGATTTTCCCCTTTAAAGGTATGAACACGAGTAGAAGCATCTATAGTTCATACTCCTACAACAATTTTTCTTCATGAAAGAAGAACAAGGAAAGGTCTAATATAACACCTTCATTGCAGGATTTTGATCAACAATTGAAAGTGGCATCATTGGAGCTAATGACATGAAAAATTGAAGTTGACAGTAGCAAGAATGGATTCCAACCATCACAGTTTTATAAGTCATTAGGAAAATAGAGACGGCTCGTTAATGCTGTGATTTTGAAAGCAAGCTGAAATTCTCTTACAGTAGTTGGCAATCCAGGAAGAGGCAGATTGTAATACTCTGATCTCACCTTTGAGCAAATCAATTGCCATTTGTCTTCTAACAGAAAGCTGAGTGCCGCAATAAGGGACATTTGATGATTCAAGCACCTGTTGTCAAGCAATTATATTTAGTTTATTGTTGAAGAAAACATACACATTATTATCTTCATCATTAATTTTATCGTAATCATTTAGTGTTTTTTTTTTTAAATTATTCATTCCTTATCAGAAACCAAACAAAAAAGTGCCAATTTGTATTGTACGAATTCAGATTTAGGTTTTGTTTGGCACGACTTTCTTACTGCTTCTTAAAGCAGTTTTCTAGTAAAAAATTAATTTTTTTAGCAGAAGGAAAGCCATCCTCAGACAATCTATATAGCTCAACTGCATATTGAAATAGACAATAAAAAGATTCCGTTCAATCAACATATCAGTAAGAGTAGGACTAACTCTTGCTTTCCTCTGCATATGCCCAATAGGAATAGTCAACAAAGAGAACAGAAAATATATCCATTAACAAGTGAACAAAAGAACCCATACATTCCATATCTAAGATACTGTTCCCTTACCAAGCGTGCAAAAAGTTCAATCTAGCAAGATCAATAATATCTACAAAGGAAGGCAATCTATCATTGAATATAATTTAAAAACAAAATTACCTTTATTACTGCATCGCGACATTTTATCATGTCTTCGAATTTTGAAAGCAAGATGCAGTGAGCTTGGATTTCATTACTCGTGTTCTTTAAAGGGCGTCGGGCTAATCTTCCATCACTTTGAGATGCCTCAGTAGCCAAAGAAGTTAATTCTGCAAATAGAACCAATCAGTCAATAAAACAGCCTCCAACAGTGGGAGAGAATCTTAGGATAGAAAAATAATACAACAAACTCTATTCATGAAGAATGGAAAAAGACCTTCGCATGTCGAAACTGTTAAGATCCTAGCAAAAGCACGAAGCGCTGGTGGAATGCCTTTCCCTTTTCTATCTGAACTTTTCACTTCTCTGTTGACATATCACAAGTTAGGATTCAATTTGAAGTCATAAATGATATCCTCTTTACCTAAGCTAGAAGATAAAATAATTTCATCAGGTAGTAAGGGATAACGCAGGTAATCTATAAAATCTATATGGTATATATGAGTAAACGGCTCTGTCAAGCTTAAATGGATTAACTGCTTGCTTATTTTAGGGCATTTATCACCTGATTAGGAGTTAGGACTAAAAACATCAATCAACTACTGAATAATTAGGGCATTAATAATATCATTAACACTTAATAATAATAAAAAATATTAGAGAAGCCATTAATTAGGCTAAGCAATTCATATGATTAAACTACTGACTCATGTTTAATAGTGTCAATGTATGGGAATAATTAAGATACAGCCGGGCTCTGATTAACTAATTATGGTTTTCTAAATTATTAGTTTCTTAAATGAACCATAATTATGCTAAGATAAATATATCCATTAATAATTAGGATAACAAAAAACCAAATATTAGGGTTAAGTTTAGTATATAACGATCAATTAATTAATTATTAGTTATGATAACAATAAATTACTTACAGATTAACTAATACTAAACAGCTAAGAATTCAAAATATTTTTAATAATAAATAAATAAAACAATGCTAACATTAACTAACTATTGGCTGAATAATTAGCTGATTTGATCAATTATTGTGAATTTGATTCAATATGTTTTTGAATTTGCTACTACCCACGCTACACTAGATCCTTGAAGTGTTGCAGATGATCGATTTATATTGGATGACTAGGATCATACCTTGAGAAGAATAAATTGGAAGATCAGAACTTGGACAGATTAACATCTACCTAGGGATCAACATTACCTGATCCAAACGATTAGCCCATGGATTGGTGCCTTGAACCACGTGTATACAAGCCTCTCAATATTTGTGAGATCTTAACTTTGGAATTTCTTAGAGCAGTGTGCAAGAGGGCTCAGACAGCAATAAGAGGTATTTGGTTAAGGGTTTAAACAAGTAATACAAATATCTATCTTGGTTTCAATCTAGGGTTTCTAGAGGATTAACGGTTACAAGCGATGCATGCAAGTAGAAGAACGAATTATGTGAAATAATTTCTAGGTGTAGTCCTTTGTTATTCCAAATAATGTTTATATGAACTTTTATTTAGAAATGAAATGAACTCAATAGAAATGAGAGGTAAATGAAGAAAATGTTATAATGATTATTGTTACACTCTACAATACAGTATAGTGATACTATGGGGTGTTACAGTGTATTTGGAAAATAATAAGTGTTGGTGAGTGCCCTTAATTTGAACATGTGGATAGTAGTTTTTTGTTTTTCCTTTCCGGCAGATCAAAACATCTATCATCTACTATGAATGAAAGCTTGGTTGACCCATATAAAACTTGGTATCTATATAATGCTTTTATTTAATTTATAGTGCATCATTCTTAATCCTAATGTTTCTTTCATAGTTTCTTTTGGAATTGTTATTACAACAATCCGGTAGCAAACCGCAATTCTGAGATTGAAATCTTTGATGACATAAAAATTTGACTACTGGAGAGCCAAAATATGCGATGTGCATGTCCAAAAGGCTCATATAAATACACTAACAGGACATTAGAATACGCTAGAAATGCTGAGTGAGGAAGAAAAAGCACAATACAATTGTGTTCAATGGACGTGATTTTGATATAAATCTCAGGGATATCCATCACGAAGGTTCATGACTCACAAAGACCAAAAGCTTTTACAACAAGCTCTCTGATGCGGACATCCAACCGTCCATGCTAATCCGAGGAGCTGAAGATCGACGGCCGAGATCCCTTCATTTTATCTTATTTTATTAATTGTAACTTTTATTTAATTATGCATTTTTCTTTTTTACCCTTAAGGAATTTATTTTATGTAAGCCCAAGGGGCAAAATTGTCTTTTAGTTTCTTTTAAGGCCAATATATAGAGGCCTTTGCTCTTGTATTAGAGATGATGGATTATTAATAAAATTTGTGTTTTGCCAAAGTGTTCTTTGGAAGAACGTTAGTGAAAAACCGCTATGGGAGGGATTTGGGTTGCCACAGCCGCAGGATGGGTCCCGGGTCGTGGCGTGAAGTCCCTTGAGAGAGCAACGTAGTACCGTCAGCCGCAGGATGTGTCGGGCTCGGCGTTTGTATCTTTAATATTTTGTCTCTTGTTTTTGTTTGTTCTTTCTTTTTGCTCCTCGTCACTATCTTCATCTTCTTCCTTCTCCCCATCTCCGTTTTTGGCCGCCGGTATTTTTCACCTCCACCCGAAATCCCCCGCATACCCGACCCATGCGCCGGCTCCCCCATTAGCCGCCGGCCGAACCTTCCTTCTCCACCCCTTTTTGGGATTTCCTAATTTGGTTGGGTTAATTTAGGATTGATTTGAATTTGAATTAATTCAAATTCAAATTTCAAATTCAATTCTTCTAAATTAGTGGGATTCTATTTTAGGAGAAAGTTCTTAATTTACATCCTTTGGAATTTGAGAAATTTCAAATTGGAGTGAATTATTTTCTTTCCTATATATCTGTTAAACCAATTAAGAAGCTTAAATTATTCCCTATCTCCAGCCTTTCGAACCCAAAACCATAGCAGCTGAAGAATTTTTTTAAACGGGCCACATTAATCTTTCCTAAAACCGCGATGGGAATTAAGAAAGATTCCCCTCAGCGTCCAGATACAGCCGGCCTCATTTTTCCAAATTTCAGCCACCTCTCTTAGCTGACTTTGAATAAATTGATTGCTTAATTGATTTCCAAAGAGAGCCCACTCAATTTGGAATTAATTTGAAGACCTCTCCCCTTGCCGAAATTAATTCCAACTCCTGATCAACGTCCCTCCTAAACTCTGAGATTATTCCAGATTTTGTTACGGGATTCTCTCCAATCCCTTATCTCTCTTCAATCTTTCAAGAGAATTGATATCTGGATTTCCTTCCCCAATTCCCCAATTCCCCAATTCTTATTCATAAAAATCTGAAATTTCTCTCAGATTTTTGGATCAAAAGCTGAGATTGTTTTCAGATTTTTTTTTTTAAGAGAAAGAAGCTTGGAGCTTGCTTCCCCTCACCTCTCAAGAGAAAATCTGAGATTCTTCTCAGATTTTGGAGAAGAGATTCTCTCCCTTGCAAAGCCCCCCTACCCGTTCTACATCACTCTCTCAAAACAAAAGCATTTCTCATGCAAGATGCGCTAATCAAATCATATTTTGAATCATTTTGGTTTAACTATTTGTGATTTAACGAATATTAATTTGATATTGTTGAAGAAAATCAACATTCATTATTGTTATGTTCTTTCATACACCATTGTGGTATTGGGCGATGTCATAAGTTTGTTTCTTTGGGCGTTAAATGATGCAAGGTACAAGTATTTTAGGGTTGCTGTGATCTTCAAAGTTTACAAGGTTCTTTGATTGTCATTAGAGGAAAAAGAGTCAAAGGTTTGTATGCATTGTAGAGCGAAACATCAAGGGCTACTTTAGTTCTTTTTCTATCTTGCATTAGAGCATTATATATTATGGAAGCAAGTGAGAGGTAGGCCTCATTGGATCCCACTATTGAGAAGCTTATGCTTATCCCTTCTCAGAATAAAACATTTCACGAGCTATTTGAACTGTCCTATGTAGGTAAGCATTTTAAAGGAAAAACTCACCAACTTTTTATAGCTAGGGTGTGACCATCATCCCCACTGCGAAGCATGACTTCCAATGATGATATGACATCTATTAGCCCTAATCCCCTCCTAACTTAGCTCCTTTCGCATATGCCGCATTGTACATGAAGACCCCACTTAAGCAACTTCTCTCTCTCTTTCTCTCTCTCACATGCATTCGTAGCCATCGTTGATGATGCTCCCATACAAACTTTCATGCAAATAGCTCCACTGCTCATCATTTTGCATCGTGCACCATCAAAAGGCTTTCTACCATGCATTCATAGCCATGACCAATAAAGCTTTTCCTCTACTCACTATAGCTGTCACCACAAAAAAACTCATCCTCACTTCAATCCCCTATAAGACCTCAATCGATCAATGATAAAGCAATAATTGACAAACTGGTTCAATTATAATCCTAAATAACATTGTATTACAATCATGAATACCTATTTTCTTCTAATTAAAATAAAATTAAAGTCATACAACAACATCAAACCTTTATCCCACTATGTGGGGTCAACAACATGAATCTTTTATCTCCATATTGTCTTGTTAAGAGTCAAATTCTCATTCAAATTTAATAAAAAAATGTTGTTTATAATACTTTCTAACCAATTTTTTTAAGGTCTACATCTACTTTCTTGACATAGGCCAAATCTAATACCGGGTCATCCGAAGGCCGACACTTTACGTGAACAACCCATCTAAGGCGAATCTCTCTCATCTTATTTGCCACTGGAGCTACTCCAACCTTTTCACATATAAACTCGTTTCGTATTTTATCTCTAAGAGTAAAGCTATTCATCCACTTGAGCATCCTCATTTCTACAACACTTAACTTAATTTTATGTTTCTTTTTTAATGACCATCATTATGAGCCATAAAGCATTGAAGGAGGTCTCACCACCATCTAATAGAATTTTTCCTTAAATTTGAGAGGTACTTTTCTATCACATAATATGCACAATGCATTCCTAAAATTTAAGTCATACAGTTAATTCAATTATGTTTTGTAAGCAATAATCAAATCACCAATCCCTTGTTGGAATAATAAACTTAGCTCGTTAGAAAATTCTATATATTACATTTATAAGCACTTTGTTATTTTGATTATTTGCATCATATAAAACAATACAACCAATCAGACTAAAAATAAAAACTCAGATTAAGTCTACCAAACAAAAATTAATTACTTTCATCAACTTTTCACCATAACTTTCCAAAATCTTTTCACCACAAATTTTCTTATATCTTATCACTTTTCAAATTGAAGCAAACACACCAAATGAAGCCTTAGTTTATGGATGTAGATTAAATTTTGGAATAAGTTTAAGCACACAATGAGAGGAAGACTTAAGATGGCAAGATCATGTTTACATTGCACATTTTGTACCGCCAACAGGTCATAACATTGTAACATTTTAAGGTGAGAAGATGATCACTTTAGAGGTGTGAAACTTTAGTAACAAGCTCAATTAAATTTAAAAGTACCACTTTATTATGTAATATTTGTGTTATAAAAGACTCATAGATATACAGTTCAGATGTCATCAAGGTCTGATGAGATTGCATAATGTTGAGCCCATCAGAGCCTTGGAGGCTTAGAGGGGGGTGTTGCAGAACAGATCCAATTTTGCTATAACAATGATTTAGGATGAGAGTTATTAATTTGACTCGGTATATTTTTGAGCTTGGTACTAGTCACATTGCACCAAATCCTTTTAAGTGTTGCATACAAGGTTGTGAAAACCGGATCAGACATCGAAC